ATGAATGGGTCTGGGGAGTCTAGATGGGCTAATCCCAGCAGGAACATCACAGGGGGAGATGGAGGATAAAATACTCGCTGTACTCCTGTAATTTAACTCATCACACAGCTTTTAGCCATCAGGAAATGATAGGGTGGGGTCTGTAATAGGGACTTGATCCATTTTCACTCAGAAGTCACGTTTCATGGTGAGTTGATTTAAAAACAAACTCAGAGATCCAACATGGAATACAAGACATTGCTCCTGACAGGATTTAAATTACAGGATGACAAGCGAGTTCACAGAAGGTAATTGTGGCTGTAATGATGTTACAATCACCCCACTTCCTCTAACAAAGTAAACCCAGTCCAAATTGGGCTTTAGAGAGCTGACAGATAATTGAAAGAGATTTTTAGTGGAAGAAAGGATATGGATTTTACTTCAGCATGTTACATTACTGGGACGCCATCATCTCTTGCACAAGCTCCTTTATAATCCATGGTGCATTTGCTTGAAAGCTTTTTGGTTTGGCATTGTAAGTGAGAACCACATTTAAATCTGTACTAAACAAACTTGTCCATGTGCTGTGTGCCATGTTGAATAAACTGTGGCACCAGAACTTAACTGTGAAAATGTGTGATGTTTGGTTTCCTTGTAGGCCTGCTGCCACCTCCAATGGGCATGATGCCACCACCACCTCCTCCCCCCAGCAACCAGCCGCCTCCCCCCCCTTCTGGACCCCTGCCACCATGGCAACAGCAGGCTCCACCTCCCCCTCCAACGAGCAGCATGGCAACCAGTACGCCGCTACCCTGGCAACAGAGTAAGTAAAAAAAACTTAATTTGAAACCTCTCTGTCATTCTCTATTCAATATGTAACATTATGACAGCCATACAAAATAGTTTGCCTCTCGCTGTGTAGTACAGACATGTTTGTTCTGTGTGAAGTGCTCCCCAGAGACAATTTGAATGACCCAAATACCAAACAGTGATCCAGTCAGGACATTAATAGGCTGTTTTTGTAGTTCTTTACTAATGAACTGCAGCTTGGTCATCACAAAGGTAACATTCAGGGCAGCTGGCTCTCCTATATCTGGTTATGGTTACTGCAAGTCCTCACACATTAAAACTCCTGTAATTTTCCACTCAAATTAGATGACATCAGCACATTCAGAGTTCATGTGGTAGTAAAAAAGGGTTGTAAAAATTCAGTCATAATCCGACATTACCCGTTATTTTAGTTTTTGCTGTCACCAGCTGCTTTACGTTATCAGTATTAACCTGCTTGTCCGTCATCCTCTTTTTAATGATGGACAGGCAGGCTTGTGAGTGCGAGCTTTGTGACAGGGATGGTTGGTAAAAGTGCACCTGCACACACACTCTGACAGGGGTAACTGTTAGCAACGTACGGCTAACGTTTCCTAATGGTTATCCACGGATTTCACAACAGACTCTAGCCTTTGGAGTCGGTGTGAGTTTGTTGGGACTGTTTAACAGCTTGGTGTCAGATTTGAAGCCAGCTAAACAACATAGTCATGAATGTGAGATTAAAGAGGGGACGAAACAATAGATAATTAATATGCACACGCCACCAACTGGACAGAGGTGTGAATTACTTAGTTATGTTAGCCCTTGTTCTGATCTGTCAAAATGACTGACAGCCTGCAGGTTTCTCTCTCTCTTTTACCTCTGACATGGAGCCACACATCACAATAGTTTTAATCTATGACATAACAATTTGGTGTGTATATTGTAGTCTGAGTAAAGTTAACTTTATGCTGCGCCTCCTGCAGATACCACCACCACATCCAGCCCTGGCACTGGCACCCTGCCTCCATGGCAGCAGCCCCAGCAGCCTGCAGCTTCTGGAGCCCAGCCCCCACCACCAATGGGCACCCCATCCATGGTGCCTCCTCCCCCAGGGGTCCAGCCCCCATTGCCCCCAGGAGCCCCTCCTCCTCCCCCTCCACCACCTCCAGGCTCAACTGGCATGATGTACGCCCCGCCACCACCCCCGCCGCCCATGGACCCTTCCAACTTTGTCACCATGATGGGGATGGGGGTACCGGGCATGCCCCCCTTTGGCATGCCTCCAGCTCCCCCACCTCCTCCACCCCAGAATTAACCCTGCCACAGAAGAATCGTCCTCCCATGAGAGCTCCACCCTGCAGCACATTTTGAATGTGTGCTCACAGAAAAAATATAACCAGTGCTTTATTTTTTATTGATCCTTGATATTGTCAAGACATCTCTGAAACGATGAAAGGTTGTGTTAGTTCAGTTTGTAAAGTTGCGTAACTTTAGTAAATGAGTTATTTTTCCTGTTTTTAAAGTTTGTATTAACACACAAGTCTTTGTGTGTATACAAACACTGTTGCTCTCGGGCTTATGTCCTGCATTGCTCTTGTAGTTTGTCACGTTACTTGTATACCAAATAAACTGCTCAAATAGCCAGCCGGAAGTTTAATTTTTGTCTCATTGCTTCAAAAGTTCAATTCAGAAGTTGACACTTAACTATTATTGGATTTAATATATTGAAGTTCAGCATGCATGATCCATTGTAAACACCTAACTCACAAATTTATACTCTTGTCATGTTCCCTATGTTGGCTTTGAGTTGAATAAGATTAATATTTTTGTAATAACAAGATGTGAAGTGTATCTTAGTTCTGTCAGAAAACCTTTTTGTAGTACTGTCTGATGTTTTCCAGAAATTCCCAGGGTTTTAATTGTCTTTTCTTTTGTTACTTGCCTGCGTCTCAGTTGTGACTTTGAGTTTGATAAGGGAGATCTGATGCTGCCATCTGCCAGCCTCTGAACCCCTGCACTACTTGAATGCTGAGAATCTGATATATCCTTGTTTTTCTGCATCTCTCTGCTCTGACAAGACGCTGTGTACAGTGTTTGTGTTGCTTCTGCAAGGACAAAAATATGTTTTGTCCCTCGAGTTATTAGAAAAGAAAAATGTTATTTTTACTCTGTTTCTGGAATCAGTCTGCTGTGTTATGGCGCTAGCCTGAATGAAAAGCTGTTGAAATCTTGCTTGGTTTAGTATTAAACTGATCCATTTCACCTTTTTGTCATTGAGTACGGACTGGTTTCTCCTTTCATGGTTGTGAGACCCTTTGTGTCAGAATGCTTGCCAAGGGTTTTTTTTTTCCAGGCCCCTTGGCTTCCTCATTCAAAGGCATTACATAACCTGGTTTTGTCAAAGGTTCCTCACAAACTCTCCAGGAAGTCTTACAGAGACATACAGTATACGGCTTTTAGACACTGACAAAAGTCTGTACAGTGTTATGGGATTTTTGCTCATGTAACCTACTACTGACATTCACTGCTGAATTTTATAAGGGCTTTATAGAAGTGTGTAGGTTTAATGTTGAAATTCTTGTACAGAAGCAACAAACTCCCTGTTTTGACAGATTTTCAGTTGAAACACTGATTTTTGTTAGTTTCTACCTGTTTTTCAGACGAGCGGTGCAACAACTATAGCAAGTAAAACTGAATATTCTGTTAGGAGAGATGAAATGTAATTTCAGCAGCTTGAGGAGAAGGAATGGGGTTGGGCATTTGAGGAAAAAAAATCTTAACTCTAGACCCTCTTTCTTGCTTTTTTGGAGCTTTAAACTACATCTCATGGCTTTCACAATATTGAGTTGTTTGCTCATGATACAAGATTCAAGAGGTTTATTGTCATGCACAGTAGAAAACTCAGCGGTTTGCACTGTATCATGACATTCTTAATGATTCCCATGAGCTGCCTCAGTGGATGGTGTGCGCTCAGTTCACTCTTTTCCCCACATACAAACTTAGAACTTGACCAAAGTTATATATTTAGGTCACTTGATGACAATGGAGAAAACCCTGTCTAGTAAGACTGTGCGGTGTGGTTGAAAGCTGGAAAAAGCTAGTAAGTGGACCTTGAATAATGTTTCTGTGTGTATCAAGACTTTGTTCCATATAGGGGTGTTGCGAATTGCGATTTACTAATACTGATGATAACCGTGATATCAGTGGTGTAGTGGTAGTTAATGAAGTTGGGGTACTACTTGTTAGATGGGTCGGTTAACAAGGAGGAAGTGGGTATACTCTCCTTTATATTCCAATGGCTTTTTGGCTGTTAGGTGGGTATACTGTAAACCGCCATGAAATATATACCTGCATATACCCTCCACCACACTACTGCTTGATACAATGTTAATAATACATACAAACAATAATATTGTGTAAATAGCAGCTCTTGAATATTTTCCGTTTTTTTCTTTATATATCGCGATAGTATCGTTATCGTGAACTGTTTTGGTCACGACCATTGTGGCAACTGATTTCAAGGCCAAGAATTAACTTTAGGCCTTTTCAAATTGCTATCCTTCTATTTGTACTTATAACATCTAATTAAAACACACATTACATATCCACCTATTTCCTCTCAATATGGTTCTGTACAATTCCTGTGTAAAATTCTTTAACTTAATGACGCACAATGCGAGGTACTACTGGATGGTTTGTGTAGGATTTTGTGCAGGTCTGAAGAATGCTTAGTTACGGCAAGTTACCTAGATCCAGACCGGAAACGAAGCCATTTTGACATAAAAATAAACGCAACACTTCTCGACTTTCTCCGCACACGTATTAATTGACCAAATGATATCGAGAAAATAATATAGTCTGTAGCTCAGTTTTTTGCTGAAAATAGCAACAGCTTGGGCATAAATACACGTTACTCACCTGCCTGCTGATTATGAGGAGAATTATGTTATAATGAGTCGTGTGACGCATTTGGAAATCGTGTGAGGTCGTTAGCTGACCCAAAGTCGAGTTTTATTTTGAAACGGTGGACCGGAAACGCTTGTTTTCTGCAGAGTGTCTCGACACCGAGTACGTGACATATATAAGAGGCTGGACCGTCACATCCCACCCGCTGTCTGTGACCAGAGGAGAACAGGAAGAAGAGGGCGGTGTGCCGGGTGAAATCTAAACATTCATTAAAAAGTAACGTTAGACATAAAGTGCCGGTAAATATGGCCAAGCCGCTGACAGACCAGGACAAGAGGAAGCAGATTTCGGTCCGAGGGCTAGCCGGTGTGGAAAATGTCGCGGACCTGAAAACTAATTTCAACAGGCACCTCCACTTCACCCTGGTGAAAGACCGAAATGTGGCTACTAAACGGGACTACTACTTCGCCCTGGCCAACACCGTCCGGGACCACCTGGTGGGCCGCTGGATCCGGACACAGCAGCATTATTATGAGAAAGACCCCAAAGTAAGTAGCGGGCTGATGCCGCAGTCCTTCACGTACACACAGCTGACTGACCGCGGAGAGGTGGGAGGGGATGCTCTGTGCTGCAGTATCACTACTGATGGCCGTGCGCGCGTGTATGTTTATGTGCGCGCACGCTCTGTGCTGCTTTGCTCATTATACCCATTTATAGAAATGTTCCTGCTGCTTTGCCTTCACCCATATCGCGCTTTCTAACAGAGTTTGTGTGTATGAGTTGTGTGTGTAGATTCCTGATCACGCTGACATTTCCTCCATATCAAAGCCGCCTGTTACATAATGTACAGCTCGTGCATCAGCATCTGCCTCAGTAACCTTGATCTGATATCTGTGCGCCATCGAGGGCGACACAAGGCCTCGGTGCTCCAAATGTGGACAAAATACTGATATTATCCAGCACTGACGGGGATTAGCAGACTCAACTGGTTGTTTAAAAATGTACAGTATTACGTAACGCGCTCCATCCATCCCCACTGGCACACACTGCGCATCACAAAATGGCCACACACTCTTAAAAAGGCAGATGAAGCTAATTTTCATACTTGATTTAAATAAAAAAAACCTGCCTCGGTTCAACCCATCTACAAACAGCTCTCAACTTCCTTGTGCTGCTGTAGCAGGAAGCTGAATTGAGAACTGAAAGGGCTATCACCTGTGTGATAAATTATGCAAGGCTGCACTTGGCCCTGCAGAGTGCTGTCCTGAGTGATGACAGTTAGTGATGTGATGGAGTGTGAGTGTCTGGCTCAAACTTCACAATTCACCCTACTTTGAACTTCTTGTTTTTGATGACTAATGATAATCCTGATTCTGCTGAAACCTCTGGTTTGTCCATTGCTCCAACCTGCTGTGCAACTATGTTTGGCTCAGCTCCATAGAACTTTATATTAAATTCCAGTTGACAATGGTATGTTTCCATAAAAAGACATTGAGTCTTGAGTTGGAATATTGCTACAGCATAAACGTCATAGGGCTTCAATGGCAGGTGGAAACAACCTGATACAGAAAATTAAAGCTACAGGTGGTAACTGTTATGAAAATAACTTTTTGTCATATTTGCTGAAATGGTCACTATATTCACACAGTAGTACATGAGACCGATAATCTGTGAAAAAAATATCTTCCTTTGCCTCCTTGTAGTTCTCCTCACGGCATTAACAAGAATCCCCTGAACATGAACAAAAACAACCAATCAGAGCTGAGGAGTCTCTGACACAGCTGTCAGTCATGTCAGTCACTACTCAGGAACTGCAGTTAAACTGTCAGACTAAAGTGCTGATCAAATATGAATCAGCATACCATCACTGCATTGCCTAATTCTGGCCTCAAATGTTTTCAGAAACATTTTAGTCTATGTTTTAGCCGTACAAGGAGGAAGTTTGCTCTGACCTTTGGGCAGTGTTTTGTTTTGCTCGACTGTTTACAACATGGCTGCCAGGTCACAAACTTAATTAACAACTGAACAGTACACTAAAATATGTTTCTGACAACATCTGGGGTGAGAAAAAAGACAATACAGTGGGGATGGGTGATATAGCCCTAAAATAAAATCACTATATGTCAAGGTAATAGTATGCGATAACGATATTCTTGATGAAGGTGGCTTAGTGGATAGAGCAGGCGCCCTATGTACACAGACTTCGTCCTTGCTGGGTCAATTCCAGCCTGCGGTCCTTTGCTGCATGTCGCTCCCTCTCTCTCCCCCTTTCACGCTTAACTGTCCTATTAATTAAAGGCAAAAATGACTAGAAAATAATCTTTTTAAAAAAACTATGTTCTTGATGAACTGCAAGAACATAGAATTGCAACAAAATAAGTGATACAGTTTTACATGTCAGGCAGATATTCAGTTAAATCTAAACAAAAATGATCTCTAATTTCTTTAGTTTGTAAACAACAATAACTCAGAGAGAGATTCAGATTCTGTATACAATATTAATAGTTCATCAAAATAAAATCTACCATAAATTACCCATTCAAACAGTTCCCAAATTATATATATATACATATATATACATACATATAACAGGCAATTTCCTTCTCTATTATCAAAATCCTAAAAGATTGAGTCTGTTTTTTTCCACCTGGATCTTTATGCTCTACCATTTCTCCTTTTAATCATCATACTGCTTATGCACACTTATACTGCGATAACTATCGCACATTCACATATATGTAGTTTTTGTCCAGCTGCAAGTGTCAGGTAGGTTTACATTACCAAAGGTTTATGACAAAATCACTTGATGACATGGACTCCTGTGTGTTCATGGTGAGAGGAGAGGCAGAGACGCTGTGCTGCTGCCAGAGGAGCCACTGAATGAGTTCCCTCTGAGCAGAAAGTCACTAAAAGAGTCTGAGAAGTCCAGGGCTGTTCATAAAACATTAAGGACGCCACAGTTTATTTCCCACTACTGAAGCTGATCCTCTTTTTGGAACCACTGCAGAGATGATATGGCACACCCCTACAATGCAGTACCAGCAGCAGTAATTCCTTGAGAGAGTTCCAGAGGGTCCCATAAAAATGGGGAATAGTTTATTGTCACTGTTTAATTCACTATAGATGTGAGCCCATTGTGAGTTACAGTCACCAGAGTGACTCTCTTCCTCCTCGGTTATCCTCCTCAACTGTAGTGGACAACTGTAGAAATCTATCTAACAACCAAAATCTGGATGTCCCTGTGGCAATACCTTATCAAATTGGAGTCTGTGACCTGATGTGTATCAATTTTGGCATCCTTGACATGAAAAAGACTGAGAACCACTGCTCTAAAGAACCAAATATGAATGAATCCGCCACTTAAAACAGTCCGCAAGAAATGCACTACTGAGTTCGAGTAACGTTTGCACAAAACAACAGTGATCAGCTGTTTTAGGAAATTACTGAGTTTAGAAGGAGAATATTGAAACTTTGTGTTTGTAAACTGTTTTTGAAAACGTACGTCTTCAGTAGGAATTAATAGGCTTGGAGCTGAGAGCCATAGACAGGATAGAGGAGAGTCAAGAAGTATTAAGAGACAGAAAAGCATATTGTTTTTCCATGGGATTGGGTCAGAATAGTGACAATGGAATAACGCAGTATTGTTCTATATCTCCACGAGTACTGGTGGAAGTCATAGTTTCACAGCGAGATGTATCAGCTGACTTGGAATTTGGACAAGTATTCCTCTCTTCATCAGTGAATGTAAACTGTTTGACTCTTTGTTTTCTTAAATGGGTACATACTGTGTTGATCCAAAGCTTTAATTACACAGCAGACCTTCATGCTTACTGTTAGATACACAGAGCTTGCTGCTATTCACGTGAACTCAGTGTAACCTTTGGAAAAGTAGCACAGACCCTCCTCTCCTATTTATACTGCCACTGGATGCCTTTGTCACATTGGCACATGCTTTCTTTTCCACTTCGGCCTCCTTTATACGCCCCCCTACAATAAGTCAGCAGCAGGATCAGAAATGTCACATGGCACAATGTCAAAGAAATGTCAGCTAAGACAACCATAACGCAGTTTCACATGTCCACATATTTTGAAGCATTATTTCGATCTAATTCTGCAGGCCATCATCAGTCCGTACGTTCATTTTGAATGTCAGTGCTAAAGTTCACACTGTCGCTGAGCTGTGAGGAGACATTATCTTATGTTAGGGTAGGATTCACTTCTCTGTGTAGTGTTGGAGGAGCTGCCAGTAATAGCCCTGCTGTTGTTGCCTCTGATAGCAGCTGTTGTCTCCCAGAGATAATGCTGCAAGGCCATAAGGGACACCAAATGGGGCGCATGCATTTTATTATTAGTATCGTCTTGAGAATTCGTGATGGGTTTTAGTGCTGTGTGTTGAGAAATTCACATCCTGTCAAATTGTAGAAGAACAGTGGATAGTTAGTCAGCTTTTTGCACTGTTTTTAAATGGAAATATAACAATATAGATATTTAAAAGATTATTTAAAGTATTGTCAGCTTTCTATTAGGTGAAAATGTAATGAAGTTCAGCATTCACAGGTTGTCTTTCTCTGTTGTTGTTTTTGTAGCGTGTGTACTACCTCTCCCTGGAGTTTTACATGGGCCGGACTTTGCAGAACACCATGGTTAACCTGGCTTTGGAAAACGCCTGTGATGAGGCCACATACCAGGTGAGGCAAAGGATCATGGGGGAAACAAAAACAGGAGTGAGGGTGTTTACCCACACCAGTCCCTTCTCAGTAGCTTACAGGAACACTCTCCACTCCACAATAAGGGAGGGTTATTAAATGATTGTAAACTTGCATAGCCAAAAGAAATTGGACACCTGAGCAAAGTATAGGGACACCCAAATGTCGCACATGATTGCTTCCATTCAGACATAAGAGCATGAATGAGGTCCAGCCCTGACGTTGGGTAATAAGGTCTGGCTCGCAGTCAGCATTCAGTTCATCCCATAGGTGTTGGTTGGGGTTGAAGTCAGGGCTCTGTGCAGGCCCATCAAGTTCTTCCACATTAAACTGGAAAAAACTTTTCTCTATGACGCTGACTTTGTGCAAAGGGACAGTATATGTATGTTTCATGTTGAAACAAGAGCCAGAAAAAGTGTTGACATAAAGTTGGACAAACACTGCGGTCTTAAATGTCATTGTAGCATTAGTATTTCTCTAAACTGGAACTAACAGGCCCGAGGCAGCATGTGCACAGGGGTGTCTACATACTTTTGGTTATAACAGTGTATGTTGCTACTGTAAATGCAGACCATTCCAAAAACAATCAACCTAAAACAGATGGTAGATGGTAAATGGTAGAGTATAAGACAGCTGTATTTAGTTAGGGACAAAGTCATGTTTCCTTTAATTTGTAGTGTGAGTGTTAGGACCTATAGGTTTATGTGCAAGATGTAAAAAGCATGTTTTAAGAAGTAGCAAGATGGAATGTACAGTATAGGAGTGTCCTCCATAATCCAGCATGTGCTCCGAGGTCAGGGTAGTGGAGTGACTAGTGAGCACTAGTGGAGACCAGCTGTTCGATGGGTTAAATGGGATGGGTTAAATGCGCCTTTTTACACTAACAGATTCTGGACAGTCCTTAATATGACAGCCTTTAGGCAGCAGGGTAAACTAAGGTGCAGAGGATACGGCAAGCATGTAGGGGCTGGATTGGGACCGTTACTATACCCCTCACCCCATCACTCAGCCCTTACCTCTACATTTTGCATGTTAACGTTTAAGGTTAGGGTCCAATTCTTGTTGCGATAGAGGGGTAGGGCTACCTGTCCCTCCAGACTGAGGTTCTTCAGAGGCATACTCCAAACTGAATCTTATGGGAAATCATCAGTAAGATGGCTGCACAAGAAACAAGAAAAAACAATAAATGTATTTTTTTGTTAATAAGGATTTACAAAGTATTATAACCATCATATTATATTCTAAGTTTCAATGTTCGGGGTGGCTGTGGCTCAGAGGGTAGAGCTTGTTATCCACTTATTGGAAGATCAGATCAATCTTTTCTTTATAACAGACGCTAACTAGCTAGCTAGGATTTGTGCATGACTGTTCCACACTTTGACATATTGTCTTGTCACTTTCCCCTCATTTGATGGCATATGACACCTGAGATTTAACTGAAGTCCAGCTGTGACGTTATTGCAATTGTTAGTGTTCCTCTAACTTCAGTGCAAACTGGCAGGGTAGGACCACATGTTGCTAATGTTAGCCTGCATAGCACCACATTACCAGGATGACTTGTTTGATCAATCGTAGTGTGAAACTTAAGTTGTGAACAAATCGCAAGGGTCCATGCTTTTCAGTCTCCATTCAATAAATGGCAAAAATGCCATAGTCGCATCTGTTTACGTAACGCCATCTATGCGTTCAGATGAAGTATCAGGGTCTTGAAGTGTTGTTCCATTTCATAGGTAAATGAAGAAAAAAATAATAAATAGAAATAAGAAACGGGATGGGGCCAAAGTCTGGTGGCCAAGTCCATTAAAGGGTACTCTGGTGGATTAGGGTTGCACTTTATGAAATTGTGTTTGCAGGTTGTAAAGCAGGCTCTCTGTTATGAATGTGTCCAAGCCCAAACTCAGATAAATAACCTTGATGGTGTCATCAGTGAAATAAATAAATAAATAAATAAATAAATAAATAAACAGGCTTTCATCAGTTAGATATATGGATTGTCCCTTTAATGGCCGTGAGTAGCAGTCATGGTTACTGGATCCTTAAAGGAAAGACAAAGACCAGCCTAATGCGTTCTTCAGGTAATGTGGAGGAATGATGCACATATTTAAAGCCTGGTCCTGGAAGTGTCTGCTTTATTCAGTTCATCATGCCCACTTCTTCTATCGATGTGCTCTTCAGCTGGGTCTGGACATGGAGGAGCTGCAGGACATTGAGGAAGATGCCGGTCTAGGCAACGGAGGGCTGGGTCGTCTGGCCGGTGAGTTCCTGCTTCCTCCTGATTGACTGCTGATAGACAGTGATGTTTAGTGCTGTGGACAGGGATGTCTCAAGAACCCCCCCCCCCCCCCCCCCCCCCCTTTCCTCCCCCTGTTTTCTCAGCTTGTTTCCTGGACTCCATGGCCTCTCTGGGTCTGGCTGCTTATGGATACGGTATCCGCTACGAGTTTGGCATCTTTAATCAGAAAATTGTCGATGGTTGGCAGGTATGTTCACCTGATGGTGAGGTAATGACAACAAATAAATGAATGCTTAGTACTTATGACATACCTCACCTTACCTAAATGGTCAGACATGACACAGCACTTTAACAAATAAATGTGTATACAGGTGGAGGAAGCTGACGACTGGCTGCGTTACGGTAATCCCTGGGAGAAGGCTCGCCCTGAGTACATGCGCCCAGTCCACTTCTACGGACGAGTGGAACACACAGCTGAAGGAGTGCAGTGGGTCGACACGCAGGTTAGTGGAAACAGACTTAAACAGAACTGACCTTTTATTGTTCAGTCAATGCTGTTCACCTCTTATATAATGAATATAATGTTGTCTGAGTTAAAACAAGTAATAATGAATGTGATGATGATGAACGATGGCGGGTATAATTATCAGAGGTTTCCTGGGTTTAAATTGTAGGCCGACAGATACTGTATTTTTTAGGGTTGATAGTGAGAGTTTAAAAAATTAGATTGTGAAAATCAGCGCTCTGGTGGATAAACTATACAATGGAGACTGTACTGGTGTTAAAAAGCTGTGTTTTATTGTGATTCAGGTGGTTCTGGCTCTCCCCTATGACACCCCAGTCCCTGGCTACAGAAACAACATTGTCAACACCATGAGACTGTGGTCTGCCAAAGCCCCCTGTGACTTCAACCTCAAAGACTGTGAGTGTTGTCATCTGTACTGTTGAATAATCATCAATGACATGCTGTAAATTAATCAACAGATTCTAAAAACAAACCTAAATGATGTCCTGCAGTTAATGTTGGCGGCTACATTCAAGCTGTGCTGGACAGAAACCTGGCTGAGAACATCTCCAGGGTTCTCTACCCCAATGACAATGTGAGTGCATCTCTCGTCGTATATACAAAATGTAATGTAACAAACATTTTACTCTGAGGGTCAGTCCACTTCTATCCTGGGTCTTATCTTTGTAACTATTTGTTATTGTACATTTTAAATGCTGAGATTTAGGAATGAGATGACATTGTTATTAAATAACAAGTCCAACTGGGCACAACTGTGATCCTCTTGAGACAGAAGTAACCTCATTGGTTGTGTTAAACCTCAACAACAACCAGGGGCGTCTTTACATAAAATTATCCTGTAACACTTGCTGTGAAGACCACACCCATAATGTGTTATGAGGGCATTCATAATGCTTTTTGACTACACTCTCAAACTCACAGTGCTTCCTGATTCACTATATGAACAGTCATAAATCATTATACACTTGAATTATAATGAATTATAAGTGTCAAGTGTTTTGTGGATGCTCCTGACTAGTTATAAACTACAGGTTGACCGATGGGGCTTATTATGCATTATGAATACCTGTACTAACCTCAACAATCAACTGTAGTAAGGACTCATAGTATGTTATAATAGTCCATGCAGTATCATTAGTAATCATTGTATGTGTTAAGTAAAGGGAAGTACATATTGATGCATCTATAAAAAACTGCATGCTTCCTCATTAAATTTTGCATTGGTAGTGTTAAGGAAAGTGTAATATCTTTTCATGTATTTAAAAGATTCTGCTGCATCATAAGTGATTAATGGCTACCATACACTAGAGTACTTAAAAAAGACTGAGTCTGACACACTGTCACATGTAAACACAATGTATCATAAGTCAGAGAGCTTTCAATCACAGAATAATATTTTGCAAAGACTATGGATCTTGCAGGATCACTATTTGCATAATTCCTAGCTTGATTGTTGATATGTATATAGGTATTCATAATGCATTATAAGCTCCATAAGTCAACCTCTAATTTAAAACTAGTCAGGAGCATTAATTACAGAAGCAATTCCGGAGGGAGCTCAGAGTAGAGCCGCTGCTCCTTCGCGTCGAAAGGGGTCAGTTGAGGTGGTTCGGGCATCTTATCAGGATTCTTCCTGGGCGCCTCCTGTTAGAGGTGTTCCAGGCATGTCCCACTGGTAGGAGGCTCCGGGGTAAACCCAGGACACACTGGAGGGATTTCATATTTCATCTGGCCTGGGAACGCTCAGGGTCCCCCAGGAGGAGCTGGGAAGTGTTGCTGGGGAGAGGGATGTCTGTGGTGTTTTGCTTGGCCTGCTGCCCCCACAACCCGGCCCTGGATAAACGGATGATAATGGACCTCAGACCCTCTATCTTAATTTAACTTAAGGGGGAACACAACCTAAATTAAGAATTTCACTGTTATTTCCATGGCCTAGGAAAGCTCAGTCTGTATTTGTAAATATGATTTACTCTCTCTTAAAGTCAGAAATCAGAGAAGTAAGTCTCAAACTTGTAATGTCAAGTATAATCATATAGTAGAATAATCTGAAAAATGAGAAAAATTCACATGAATGCCCCCTCAAGTTGGAGCAACAACTTTTTGTACACAAGTTGATGTTATATTATGCAGGATCAGGTTGAACAAAAGTGAATGTTTGTTTGATGTTAAGAAACTTTCAATTAATTCATGTCTGTATATATAAATTATTCCCCGCATTTAATTTAACATGGCATTAGGTTGTAACAGTTAGTTGATGTCCATGTAGAGTTAGATCGGTTAGAAAATGTATTTATTAGCATTAACCCTGTTAACAGTCAGATAAAACAATATTTAGTGGTGTCAGGGAATGTAAGCTACTGGTGCAGCACCAAGTCAGAGACAAAATCCCTTTGTGATATAAAGCTTCAAACTGTTTTAGCATGCACTGATAACAACATGAATATTCACAATGACGTTAAACACTCAAAGCAATAAAATACAACAATTTTAGCGTTAATTTTTTCCCACATTACGACTTAAAAGCTCACAAACAAACTAAAGTCATACAAACAGTATGAATGCAGCTTTATTCTATTGTAGTGTTCTTAGTTCTGAAACAGAAAATGTCCCCATATAATCAGAGCATACCTGAGCTGCCAGTGTCATCTAGAACGTCTTTCACCATCCATCATCTGTGGAGCAGTTCCAGACTTTATACCCTATAACATCACAAATTTCATTTTTAGCACACTAGTTATGTGTCCATGCTGGCAATAGCCGTGGCTGGAGGCATTTGTTTTGAGGTTGTCCATCTGTACAACACATTCTCGTGAACGTGATATCTCAAGAACGCCTTGAGGGTGGTCAAAGGTCAAAGGTCTAGGTCACTGTGACATGTTTTTCGACAAAACTCAAGCATTCATGCATGCTAATGACATTTCACCAAAAAAATCTAATAGGACAAAACAATGAAGTAATGAGATTTATATCCAAAAGGTTAAAGGTCAACTTCACCTTGTCATCACAATGTTCTGCATAAACACTTTTCTGGCCATTATTCAGCATCATAATTGAGAAACAGAAGAGGTTACATTTGGTTAGATACTGAAATGGTGACACTAATTCTGGGTGTCCACCTTGAAACTGTGCTGATTGTATCGATCTTCTGTGTTGCTGGGTGGAGGGTGTGTGTAAAGCATCCATGTTTACATAGACATGGATGTAAACTGTAAGTTAAACTTGACTGGTGAGCAGAGGCACACAATCACGAGGCAGTTATTCTAGTTTTTGGATCTGGGAGAAAGTTGTTCATGTTTACTTATATGAATACTAATATTTACTTTACTAATATTTGGACTGTCTTAGACCACAGGAATGACATGTATGCATTTTGAAAATGGGCACAGGTCCCCTTTAAGAAGCCCTGCTATAATTGTAAATTCCATTTTTCAGTCTGCACTTGTCCAGTCATGCCTGTATCTATGTTAAGAATGAACCCGTAGGCTCCTCAAGATGGACAAACTATATTATTAACAGCTCTCAGTTGTCAGTGGCTAGCTAGCTTGCTGTCATGGACACAAAAGACAGGCATACAATTTTAGCTCTGTGGAGTCAGAGGCACTTATCGTGTTGGTGGAGGATTGTGTCACATAGTTTAGTTTATTTTCTTAAAGCCTCATCATGCAATTTAAGTATTCTTTCAGTCATTATGATTTGGTGTTCATGTTATTCCCCATCTTCACTATTGTTGCCATACAGACACAGTTTTACATGCCTTTGAAACTTAGGACGGTTCTGTAAGGACTAAATTACTATCCCAAGATAAAATAAGATGTTATTCCTAAAGGTGTCATGTCATCCTAAACTGAGAGAATATAGGATGTCAGATTTAGGAAGTGTCTATAATGAGGCCTCAGTTTCCTCAGTACAAATTAGCCTGAACAACTTTTTATGTTGGAAATATGTCAGACGTGTCTTCAGCTTGTTGTGTGTAGTAAAACAGTGCAGGCCTTACTCCTCTCTTCAATTTCTCTCTTCAGCCTGGTCTTCAAGTGCTTGCAGGACATGTGTTATGAAAGAATAAGACGATAGTTGTAAGAGTTTCCCATATTGTCTTTGGTCTGCAGTTCTTTGAAGGGAAGGAGCTGCGTCTGAAGCAGGAGTACTTTGTGGTAGCGGCAACTCTTCAAGACATCATCCGTCGGTTCAAAGCCTCCAAGTTTGGCTCCACCGAGTTTGTGCGACACGACCTTTCTACGCTGCCAGACAAGGTGAGAGATGCATTACATCATCATGTGATCTCAGAGATAATGACAGCAGTTCATTATCGTATCTATCTATTTATGTAGCTATCTTTATTGTTCATTTTCAAACACACATTTCATTTTGTTCACTTGTTGTTCACTTTATCTCTGTCTGTCTGTGGTGTGCAGGTGGCCATCCAGCTGAATGACACCCATCCTGCTATGGCCATCCCAGAGCTGATGAGGATCCTGGTGGACATTGAGAAACTCACTTGGGGGAAGGTATGGCACTCCAGCTGTGCAGTAACACACAGGCCTCAGCATGTCTGACACAACAGCCCTGTGAGAGATAATGGTATAGGGCTGCTACTAAGTCCCTTCTTTATACTGCCTATGCATTTTTACACAGAACCAAACCCCAGTGTGTGATTTTAGACAGCATGCCAGCATCCTGAAAACAAAAGAATTGTGACGTGCAACATATGTGTTGGCAACACTTCCTAACAAAAATGGCATAACATGGCAATAACAATAATTTACCATCCCTGTTATTTGGCGGCTGATCCCGTCCTACGCTCGAAGGGTGAGGAGCTCCCAGACCTCATTGTTTTGCCAATTTGCTGACAATTTCAGCCTTTGAGTTAGCCACTTACTGCTACTAGCTGCTTTTTAAATCTTCCGGTGGTGGGTTGCACATATCACTCATTGTCAAAAGTCACACCTGTCCTGCCCATAGTCCCGTCCTGCTGACTGTCCCATTTATACAGATGTCCATTTGGGAATGTTACTACTCCTGCTGCTGGCTTAAAGGTGAAAAAGCTTTGTCCCCCTGTTCTATGATTACACCTATTATTATACTTAACGATGAGGCGGCATAACTGCATGATATCCCTGCCTTAAAAATGCAGTGTAAAAGGGACTAAAGATTTTTTTTTCCTGTTTATGGCAGCTATATGCACTATTTTTCAAACCATTTCAGATAATAGAATGCGTAAAAATTTGTACATCGTTTTGGGAAACATGATATTTGCCAAGTAAAAAAATCATCCTGTAGAGCCTACATCCTATTTTGTATTTCATTGTTTTCCAACTGCCTTCATCATTCTGAAACCATGACACAGCAGATGCTGAGGATGACTAATTTTCACTCCTGCCAAGAGGCAAAAGCATAGTCTGATGTCACTGTTTTTAAGTTACGTTACATAACACATGTCGGGTGGGAATCTGGCATAAACATCATTACTAATTAACTATTTCTGTTACTATGTCACTGCTATGCTGGAGTAGAGTTCACAGGATGAATGTTTAGCTGACAAATCTGCTACATCTGAATCTATGCCATAATAATCTGGGTTGTTCTAATGGCAAATCAAGGATCCCCAACAAAGCCAAGTTAACATGGTCTTCAATACTCTGAACTAAATATAAGGCCAACAGAAGAACATTTGTAATAACAAGTTATATTAGATTTTTTTTAAAGCAAATCGCATCAATCCGTAGGTATAGAGTGCACTGTGCACCTAGAGTGCCAGGTGCCATCACCTGCTCCACTTCTGCAGAAACCTCATTTCATACAGTGAATAGAGAGGGCTGCGTTCAACAAGGTTTGTAACTTTCTGAAACAAATAATCCAGCAGTTGCACTAATTTTTGCAGTGGTTGGCCAGGTGTTTAGAGGTCTGAAAGACACAATATGAACTTTTCTATCAAGCTCTTTCTTTCACTCTTCACACAACTTCTTTCACTTGAGGAGAGACTGACTGAAACTGACTGAGGATGTCCTGTGGTCACTTGTGTGGTATCTCTGTCTCTTTACATCCCTCAACACTGCAGTAACAATGACAAATAAGCACGTCGACTACAGCACAATGACACATCAGTCAAAGCTCAAGTCATGCACTGTGACAGAATGTAAGCCAAAATACTTGCTGATATAGAATCATCTTTTCTTTTGCACAAGACAACACTGTCACTTTCTACATAAACTGCTTTGACTGTATTTGTCAAAAAGGTAATTTCATGGTCACAGTTTTATTTGTAGTCTGAGATCCATGTGAGTATGTGTGATAACGTCACTTCTGTCCTCTCTGTGTCCAGGCCTGGGACATCGTGGTTCGTACCTGTGCCTACACCAACCACACCGTCCTGCCTGAAGCCCTGGAGCGCTGGCCTGTCGATCTCTTCCAAAACCTGCTGCCTCGTCACCTGGAGATCATCTATGAGATCAACAGGAGGCACCTGGAGGTACGAGGGCAGCTGATTAGAGATTTATGAGCATTTTAGCCGTTAAGGTGATACTCTTATCTATAAAAACTAACTGAGTGCTCAGATAGTTTAAGAAATAATCTTGTTTGCCACCTTACCCATATTAAGCTCCACCAATTTCATCTATGTTCACTACTCTAAGGCCTTAGGTCAAGTCTTCACTCCACAGCTCTGCTCTGGACATCTACTTAGATTTCTCTTTCCTTCACCCCTCCAGCGTATCACCAAGCTTTTCCCTGGAGATGTTGACCGCCTGCGCAGAATGTCCCTGATTGAGGAGGGAGACACCAAGAAAATCAACATGGCTCACCTGTGCATCGTGGGATCTCATGCTGTCAACGGCGTGGCACGCATCCACTCTGAAATCATCAAAGACACTGTGTAGGGAAACCAGTTCTCTCACATCTCACTTGAGTGTGCTAAAATAACATTATTGTAAATGAGCCTCTGGCCATGTCTGTATTTGTAATGACTCAGCTTTTCAACAACAAAGAAATGCAGCTTAGTTATTATGAGCCTAAAGGTTGAAGAATGTTAACTGAGGTTTGGTGTTTGTGAGGTTCACTGTGCTAATTAGACTTTTTTGTTGCTTCTGTTCTCCTCAGGTTCAAGGATTTCTATGAAGTAGACCCTGAAAAGTTTCAGAACAAGACCAACGGCATCACACCCAGGCGCTGGCTGGTCATGTGCAACCCCGGCCTGGCTGAGGTCATTGCGGAGGTGTGTTGGGTCTTGTTCATACAGAGTGAACACTGAGAAATGAGAGGAGTTATTTCAGGCATGCATGCTGGGACTAAAAGCTCTGTTCATTTTATTTAGAGGATTGGTGAGGACTACATCCGTGACCTGGACCAGCTGAAGAAGCTTCTGGAATTTGTGGATGATGACGCCTTCATTCGGGATGTTGCCAAAGTCAAGCAAGTGAGAGTTATAAATGCCTAAAGAGAAGTGATTGTTCTCTTCTTTTTCTGTTCATTACTCATCACATTTCTCTGTATGACCTCAATTTTGTAGGAGAACAAGATGAAGTTTGCTGCCCACCTTGAAGAGCACTACAAGGTGAAGATCAACCCCAACTCCATGTTTGATGTGCAGGTGAAGAGGATCCACGAGTACAAGAGGCAGCTGCTCAACTGCCTGCACATCATCACTATGTACAACCGTGAGTGTTGTTTTTCTTTTACTGGCAGCCTTAGGCAAATAAATCTGGATTCAGAGTTAAGTCAGACTTTTTTTTTTTGCTTGTGTTTAATCAGGAATCAAGAAGGAACCCAACAAGTCATGGACCCCCAGGACCATCATGATTGGAGGAAAGGTGAGTGGCATTAAAGGTGTCACGTTACATTTGCTTTTCTACGTCGACTCGAACACTGACATTGTAAAAGATGCTTGTCTCACCCCTATCTGTGTGTCCATGACATACGTGAGTTTTGTAAATGTTAAGTATAGTTATACCCAGCTGAGACCCCAGCTTTTGTTTGGTATGCATTTTTAATTTCTCCCTAGCTATTTGAGATGAGAAGGACCTGATAAGAATAATAAATTAGGGTTGTCTTTGAACAGTGTTATAACCCAGTTTGTAAAGGGAAGGAGAAGCAATGCAAAACCAGATGTTTTTGGTGAAATAAAGTTATTTTTTTAACAAAGGAAGTAAGGATTATTGTTACAAACAAAAGTAATGCAAACTACTACAGAAAAGGGCTTGTGGGTGCTGTTCAACTCAAAGAAATATAACCAAAAGAGGACTCTTTAAAACAAGAGTTGCTAATCTTAAAATCAAAACTGGAAAATAAAACCTAACTGTTCTGAATTAACCCTGCACCAAGTGTCTCCAACAAAAGAAATGCTGATAAAAGTGCATGGTCAGTTTTTTGAAATCTAATAAAGTAGCCTAGTCCCAAAATAGCAAAACTAGTGCCTCATAATAACCTCAAAGAACATATTGAATTCTTAACAACGGCACAGTCAACACTAGGGAGAGGCATGCTGGTGAGTGGGTCGTTTCCAGCCGCCCCAACAATCAGGCTGGCCAGGCATAAGCAGAGTCTTGGGTCCCTGTTGCTCAGATTGGATTGGAGGAGCCAGATAGGAGGATAAGGAGTTTTTGCAAATGCAAACAGTGTTTGTTTAATGTTTTGTAACACTGTGAGTTAGGAGCAGCTGTTCAAGTCTAAAAGTGTTCAAAACTGTTCATTTGAATGCCTGAAAATGAATGTGCAAAAGCAAAATTGCAAATAAGCACTTGTCTTATCTTGTTACTATTGCTAAAACTGGTAACTTTTGTACATCATATCAAACTACAAATATTGTTAATCAGAAATAAACAAGTTTCAACCATAAAATCTAATCAGGTTTTGTACCTTGTCCACTTTTGTGTCAGGATTAGCTTTAGACTGACTTTGCAGAAATGGCAGCCATCTTGTTTTTACATGGATAAGTGTATTGTGCTTTTGCTACCACTAGATGGCACAAAGAAGCATACACAAATGAGGACAACAGGTCTAAGCTCAGCAGAATGATGTATAAGGTGCAGCAAATGTTGTGTCTTCATATGCTGAGTTGTAAATGGATACGTAAAGAGCAATTCATCAAATATTCCCCATCACTACCACCAAAGTATTCTCCCACCCAGAACAGTTTGACCCTAATCATAACATTCCTGTCCTGATGTAGACATCAACGTTCCAGATATGATAGGCAAGGACAAACTTGGGGGAGAAAACATGAAACAACTTTGATAATGACATGAGTGAAATTTCACATCCACCTTGAAGTATACTGCAGAACTGCTGTCCTCAAATAACTCGCATGAAGGCTCCTGTGATCAGCCACAATACCAAAAGTACCTTTAACCACATGAGCAAATGTGTCACACGTTATTAATGGATCATATGACTGCGTGTAATGTGAAGTGTCACTCAAAGTGAAGAACCCACAGTAATCACCAACTCTGCACTTCCTCCCAGCTCTGCAGAGCTTTTTAGCCTCTTTTACTTCTTTGTTTTGGTTTTACAGCCAACCGGTGCAGGAAGTTATAGTGCATATTCCTTTAATTGCCTCTTTCCATATTGCTAGCTGAGGTACCAATTTTGCACCAGTAATAATAATTTTACAGTGTACATTTCATTGTAAAATGTATTTGTTTTTTGATTCCTGTCATAAATGTGGTCACGTATGACCTGATTATTATGGGCAGGTGTTTGAATTCAGGTTTTAACTTTCAAATTTAAACTCCAACATGCCATATGTGTTTGGACAGAAGCTGCTGTAATTACATCCTGATGAGAGTTTATTCTACTTAAAATGTACATTTTCAGCAAATCATCAATAAAGAAGTCATTCCACGCAGATAACCGTTCATCTTTGGGAACTTGAGTTTTTATTTAGTGTTTTTCATGATGATGGTCCTTTGTGCTTTCAGGCGGCTCCAGGTTATCACACGGCCAAGATGATCATCAAGCTGATCACATCTATTGGAGACATTGTCAACAATGACCCTGTGGTGGGCGATCGCCTCAAAGTCATCTACCTGGAGAACTATCGAGTCACTCTGGCTGAAAAGGGTAAATGATGCTGTTCATTTATAATCATATTTAGCATTCGGAAGGTTTGGATTGTTCTCAGCATATTAAGGGCTCAGAGTGAGGAAGACAGGGCCCTGGACCTGTGTATGTTGTAGAACGTGGATAGAGAGAAACATTGGAATTCTATATCTCCTGTCTGCAGTCATCCCTGCGTCTGACCTGTCGGAGCAGATCTCCACAGCAGGCACTGAGGCCTCTGGCACAGGGAACATGAAGTTCATGCTAAACGGAGCCCTCACCATCGGCACCATGGATGGAGCCAATGTGGAAATGGCAGAGGAAGCCGGAGAGGAGAACCTCTTCATCTTCGGCATGAGGGTGCCTGATGTGGAGGCTCTGGACAAGAAGGGGTGAGCCTCATGATGGAGAGTTAGAATAAAGAATTTATTTTAGCCACACCTGACTAGATTTACAGGTCAAATCCATCCATGCTGTCACATAATACCTGTTCTAATGCTTGATAAATGTCTTCTGTCCTCAGCTATGACGCTCCGTCATATTACAACCGTATCCCTGAGCTGAAGCAGGCAATGGACCAGATATCTGGAGGTTTCTTCAGCCCTGGCCAGCCTGACCTCTTCAAAGACCTTGTCAATATGCTGATGCACCACGACAGGTTAGAGCGCACTGCTGACACTGAGGAATTACACTTTGTCTGTGCTGACACACGGCCCGACTGTATGTCTACAGTCATGCAGTGTCATCAGTGTATCTCTGTTGGCCACTGTCAAATGATATAACCTATATCCATATATGATATATCCGTTTTTACTGTGTCTGTGCTGCAGGTTCAAGGTGTTTGCAGACTATGAAGCCTACATCAAATGTCAAGAGAAAGTCAGTGCACTCTACAAGGTACGTAAGTCAGCAGGAAGACGTCAGTAAAAGCTGATATCTGGTGATGGTCAAATGAAGCCTCATGAAGCATTTTCTTTATTTTCTGAGCTCACTATATGACACTCTCTGATCAGCAAAGGGTTGAAAGCACACTGAGCTGCTTGAACTTCCAAGAGCACCATCTAGTGGGCTCAGAACATAAAGAAGATGGTCCATGAGGCTTCATTTGGCCATCACTAGTAAAAGGCATTAGAGTTGGATTGTACTATACTATACTATACCATACCATACCACACCACACTACTAGGTATTATTTTCTCAGGTATCAATTAAGTTTCATCTTATTCATCTTTTTATTAACAGAACCCTAAAGAGTGGACCAAGATGGTGATCCATAACATCGCTGGGTGCGGTAAATTCTCCAGTGACCGCACCATTTCCCAGTATGCCAGAGAGATCTGGGGCATGGAGCCCAGTTTGGAGAAGATTGCTGCTCCTGATGATCCTCGCTAAACCTCATCTGCCTCCTCCACCTCACTGTAGCTCACCATGTGGTCCATCCACTGATGAAAAACCCTGTAGCTTTTTTCACTGTGTACTGTGGCATTATGTCTTCACATCACTGATCCCCATACAACCTCTGTTACTTCCAGTTCATCATGCAGCAACATGTATTGAAGCGGGTTTATTCAAAATTTGTACTTTGTGTTTTCCCTCAGTGCACCAGCAATGCATATTCTCACTGTTGGGTAAAAACCTTGTATGGAGTGAACCATTAAACATATACTTCTTTATTTTGTTGCAGCGCCCTCCTATTTTCCACAGTTTCCTCTCCACTGATGTTTGGAAATTCTCGGTCCAAACATCAACCAGGCGCTGAGTGGAAAACTTTGGAGTGCTACAACAAAATCAGGGACTATATCTTTAACCAAATTTCCATACTGCACTTGGGTTTTCACACAACAGTGATTTTAAACCACAAATCTAACCACACTCCCTTTCTACTTCTGAATCTATATGGCTACTTAAACCCAGCAAGTATGCCGATAAACCTCAGCACTATTATGGCTCCAAACCAGCCCATGTCTTCCATGGAAGAGTAAAGGGACACTCAGTGGTTAAAGTTCACCATGGCCTCAAAGCAGCACTGTGACTAGATGTTGTTGGAAGGAAGCCTTGACTCCATATGCATCGCAGATTAACATTCATATTACTGTTTCATATTAACAGACTCTCTGAGTGCTCTGTCAGTGTTTCATGGTGTTTGCTGAATATATCCATTTCTGTGTTATCATTAATGGTCAGGGGAGCCCTGTGATGCAGATGTATTGTCCCCGTCAGTTTAGTTGTGATCTCCTCAGCATGTTTGTGTCTGTCTCATTTTGTTGTACTCTCTTCCTCAAAGTGACCTGTGTTAGAAAATAACAGCGCCTTCTCTGCCTAAAACCTAAGTGACTGAACTAATCTTTGGGACATGCGTGTATTCTGTGGTGTAGTCGTGTGTGAATGTATAACATACGTGAGTCAGTGACACTGTGGATATCAGCTCGATTAATGTACTGTAACAAACTGCTTCAGCTACTGCATATGACTGTGTGACTGCTGTGGTGCTGCCTGCACAGGCTGCAAAGAAAACTGCCCACTGCGCTGAACCTAACATTTCACTTTTCTTTTTTAGTCAATAAACAACAAAACTACATCAACAGCTCTGATGTTTGAGTTTACTTTTGCACCTCTGTAGTGACACATAAAAACAAAGATATCTGTGTAACATGTAGGACAAAAAGACCAGGGTTTGGGACAACCTCTAGCTCAACAGGTATGAGTGTGCACCCCATGTAGGTTGAGTCCATTGTAACAGCCCAGGATCAATTCCACCCTGTTATCCACATTCTCTCTCCACCTTTCCTGTCACTCTCCAGCGTTCTACAATTACGGCAAAAGCCCAAAGAAACTGTCCTCGTCCAAAAGAGGATGATCAGAGAAGATGTGGCCTGTATAGTTTAATGTTAAAGCAGAAGTGGGCTGTGCCTGAGCCACTTCCTGCTGACCAGCAGAGGGTGATACAGGTCCTGGATTTGTTTGTTTTTGTTGTTTTTTTTTTGCTGATAATTGTCTCAGGTTAAAGGCATAGTGTATATCTTCTGTCTATCTATAATGCCAGACTAGATGGGAAAGAAAGCTTTTATTTAAGCACGTGGAAAAGTCTTTAGAAGGACCATGAACTGAAGAAGCTGAAAGACTGTTATGAACGACATGGTAAATGACTCCATTGGTATTCGTCTCTATTCTTGCTCAATTTGGCCTTGTTACTGTTTATGCATTGTTTATGTGTAGCTTTTTTGGTTCCCTTGGCCGTCCTAAACAAAGGAGAGTAGCTCCATTAAGAATGCCGATGCTTACCCTTCCTGCTCTCAGCACATCGACCACCTTCACAGGTAAAAATATCCTGCTTGATCTATTTAAAAGACAGGCAACTTTTTGTATCAGATTATTATGTAAATCAAGCAAGACTAATCTTTGTATAAACTATAATTAAAGCCGAAGGTAATTGTTTTAGGTCACACATGGTTGAGTGAATTATTATTCACACCTCCAGTTTCTATTAAGGTGAGAGACACTACAGATGAAAACATCAGTTTTGAGATTTGGGGCTATTTGTTTTTATAACATGTCTTCTTTCAGACTAATGGAAAGGAAACAAACAAATGCATATTTAGGTGTATATTTAAGATGAGATTTCTGTTCTGGAAATGTATGCAGAAAGCACACATTTAATTATGATTAGAATAATGCCTCAACTTGCATAGTTAAAAAAAGTTCAGAAAACTTAATACAGAAAAAAAATAGCATATGTAATCAACTAGTAAAGTGTCATGATATTAAGTTTTTTTTTACCCTCTTGTCTTATATTTTGTCTAAAATGTATGGAATTTGAAACCTATTCTTTAAAGCCTGTTTTCACATATTATAGCCAAAACTCTGATTTATGGATTATTTTTTTCCTAAAAACATGGTCAATTTACATGGCTGGTTTATGAAGTGATAAAAACACATTTCTGAAATCTATAAACAACCTTTGACTCTAAAATGTCAAAATGAAGCAAATGTTTTTTAACATGGCTTCATTCAATGTTTAGAGTTTTGCTTGATTTATGCAAATGAGTGCATATTTTATTAGATAATGTATAATTTGAATATTTAAACATAACATTTCAGAAAACTTCAGAAAGTAATCAACTGGGAAAGTTTCACGATGAATCAATCAGTTTAAGCCTAATCACCTCGGATGTCTCCCCTTCAGATCTTTTTAACATTTGGGAAAGATCTTGACACTGCTACATCGTTAACTATTTCAGTGGTGCAGTGATTGTTGTGTTTTTACCTAGGCGACTCCTGTGAGTCTTTGTTCGGTGATATTGTTTTTGTCTTTTAAACTAAAAATCTAAGTGGGGTGAAAAACACTGGGGAAAACATTCTGGGGCCTGCGGCTCATCCCACTTCAAAGTCTGTTGGACCAAAGTGAATAAAACAAGATCTCTGTTTGTTGTGTGAATGTTCCTCAGGAGATTGGCTGGGTTTACATAATTACATCTTGCTAAGGAGAAAATCTATATTTTGTGTTTTGAAAAAATGCAGATGATTTTCAAAACTAGATATATTCATGTAAAACTAAAAACTTAAATTTGTACTGATAATATCACAGAATTAATTGATCTATTCAAAATAATAAGATTTATTATTTTCAGTGTTGCCACCTGGTTTGACAGCAGCTTCCTTGACCTTAATGTCACAGAGTTGTGTCTGGGATGTAGGATGGGAGTATGCACCATATATTGCACGTGTCATACCTCATAGCTCTCATTGGATCAAAGAGCGTGTTCCAGCCTTGCACCTCAGGTACCTGCTTGTGTACCTGCTGTGTGTACAATAATTGATTCTGTGATTCCACACTTGATCTGCTCCTTCTGCCCCTCCCACATCCACATGATTGACAGTTGTCCATCACAGCTGGTCCCCTCCTCCCCTTCCTTCCATCATATTAAAGCCCCATTCGCCCCTTTGTGGTCTCAGTTTCCTCCACCTGATCCCCACTTCCTTACACTCTGGGATGGACTGCAGTACTTACGGTAAGACAATCATTTTTCATCTCATACTTCAGTCAACATCAGGATGAGGTCAAACTGAGTTTGAATTATTTGTTTTTTGTTCCCGTCTGGTCATTCTCTGGTAAATATTGAACTATTAGACATTATGACAATAACTTACTATAACCACCCCATTGGGTATTTTTTAGTGGGATATGAACTGTAAACACATCATGAATGGTTTATGACACACTTTAATGTAGGACATTTTTAAGTGTTTATTAATAGATTTGTCAACAATAGCTAGAAACATCTGTGTTATAAAGATTATGAATTATTTATACTATAGCTTTAATCATATTTAGTGATATGTGATTACGTTGTTGTTAATCTTTTATTACCTGTTTATACATATGTTAAGGTAATCCACAGGCAGTCTGAAACTTTTATATGTTTTTGAAACTGATTATGACATGTCAGAAATACTAGTTTGACAAAAAATATTTTAACCCAGTGTCTACTAACTCCAGTGCTTTCAGCTGCATATCATGGTCTTCATTGTTGGATGTTATTAGCCCAGTTGTCCTGGAGAGTGAAGAAGTATTTCTAAATAAATAAATACTTCATAATGAATAAATATGATACTAATAAGCTAGACAAGCACTGTGATAGTTTGGCAACCTGTCCAGGTTATACCCTGCCTCTCACCCAGTGACAGCTGGGATAGGCTCCAGCACATCCAAGACCATGTATAAGGATAAGCAGTTAAGGAAAAATGAATGACTGACTGAATAAACAAGAGAAGCATCTTCTGATGAAAGTGCATATGTTTTCTGTTTGCATTGATGCTGATTGGCATAGCCTAATTTATGGAAGACTTTATAATCATGAAAACTGATTGAGCCTATTGTACTGGCTGAGTTATAGATGCTGCGAGAGCTTTAAAGCTTTAACATTGGGCTTTAAAACACTGCGGTACATAACCCATAAAGCATCATCAATATTATGTTTACTGGATGAGTGTTCAGTAGTGAACATTTCAAGATTCAAATGGAGTTGCAACCTGTTGTTTTCATATAATGTTTCTTTGTCACAGCCCTTGGTGTCTAATAGCGACACATGGGGACGCACAGATGAAACACATTGTAACACGTAGTTAATGTTGTGAAACTGTTGCAGTTTGGTTTAGATAACAAAAGTACTTAGTTAGGTTTAGATGAAAATATAATGTTTTGGGACAAAATAAGTACTTTTATTATGTAACATAATGTGACGTAAATAGTGTCACACACAGGACACAAACTGCAGTCTCCTGGGTGAAAGTCTAGGTTTCTTTGACCCATCTACCACACCTCCCACCATGGAGTTTCTCACTTTTTCTAATATGTTAGTTGCTCTCAGTGTCAAATGTTGCTGTGGATGGGTTTACAGTAGAGTTAGCTGAAAGCCCGGTGCATCTCATAAAGATGCTAGAGGGTGCCTTTGGCACTGATATCACGTGTCGGTATTTGACAACCTGAGGATGGGTTTGTACTGTGTTATAAATGCTATGGTGCTGAATCGGCCTTCACAGGCTTTAATGTATTTTATAACTCATAATGTAATGAAAATGTATAAATATGCTTTTAATAGGTTCATGGTATAAACATGAAATAGAATTTCACATGAGTGTCATGTATTGTATTGTTGTGTCAGAAATGGACACCCTGGAGGTCCCTCCCCTCACACCGACTAGTAAGGAGGTCCTCAGCCAGGCGGTGAAGGCCAGTTTCGCTGGATTTGCCCAGGAGAGAATCACCCATCACTTCCCTCAGGGTACAGCCTGAGCCACAGGCACAATATTAAGTCATCAATACAGCAGGGAAAGCTTATGAAAAGGTGAAGAGGTTAGAGAACACTGTAGCTGTAGATTTATTCATATTTGCATATGTGCAGATCCTACCTTGTGGTCTGAGTGGGAGGTGAACTACTGGCTGGATTGGTGCCAGGCTGAGTTTGGTCTCCACTGCCTGGGTTCAGACCTGAGAGGCCTCCAGGGGAGTGAGCTGTGTAGCCTGGAAAAGGAGGCTTTCCTGGGCCTCATGTCCGACTTCACTGCAGGAGAGATCCTGTGGGAGCATCTGGAGACCATGAGGAGAGGTGACAGCATTTTCAACCAAAACCTGATTCTTTCAAACTCACATTTACTTTGAAATGTGACTACAACAACATAAAATTAGATAAGACAGATGTCGACAAAGCTTTTCTTTAGGGACATAACTTGCAGTTTAAAACAGGTATGATATCGCAATATATTTTAACACAATACTCAGCATATTGCAACATGTTTAAAATTGCAATAATATTGTATCATGACTGAAGTGTGGTGATAATATTGTATTGTGGAGCCTGTGATGAAGAAAGTATAGCCATGAATATTATATTCCATTTCTGCCAATATATCCCCCCAAATCCCCACTGGACTTTTAAATGTGTCGCTATTTAGGCACATTGTACAATTCATCTGGAGCTCCCTTTCTGCATTTGAACTTGGGGGTTAAAATGTTAAACCTTTAAGTAGGAGCACAAGCAGTGGTGCCCACAGAAATGTTTCATAAGGGTAGCCAGATGAGGCCAA